AGCCATTATTGTTTTTAAAATAGAGTTTTAGTTACTTTTATACATGAATAATATATGTACATTTTAACTAATCTCGATTTTAAATTCTCCCGATTCGGGGACCCCTCTCAATGACGGAGCCTGGGGCTATAACCCCCCCCCTGGGTGTTTTTGAAAAAAATTACTTTGTTATTTTCTGGTTTCAAAAGAATACCTAAGCATTTTTAAGTATTATTTTTTTTCTCAATTCTACTATAATAGTAAAATTATGGTAAATGGCAGAAATAAATAATTATTATTATATACAGTTCATACCAAATAAAATGTTAGTCACGTGATTAAGCTTGGCCGGCACAGCGTTTGCCCTCTTTTACATATTTTCTTTCAATCAAATTATTTAAGAAAACAAAAATAAATTAATTATAAATATATAAACAGTTAGTATTTACATCAACAACACTAACCTTCTTAACGGCACTAAAGAAACATAAAGGGCCATTACTACCGCTTTCCCGTTCAAAAAATTCTAATAAAGTTGCGATGAGTTTTTTACTGCTATTAAGATATCTTGTACACTTCGCATTAAAAGAGATTCTAAAAAGAAGAATGTTTTCAAGCTTAAAGTATAGTGTGTATACACGTACATAGTGTATACGTACATAGTGTTGTGATACACTATTTATTTAAACCAAAAACTCGTAATACAAAACTAAAGTGTCAAAACGATTGACAATGTCAGGAAATAAATAAATAAATGCGGCAATTTGATATTTTTTACAGCAGAGCTACCACCCGAATCCCCAGCGCGAAATTTAAATTCCAGTTAGTCAGACAGGCGCCGAATATGTCCATGGTTGGTTGAATGAATTTAAAAATCGCGCCCTCGATTACGTAATTAAAAGTTTAATTGATATAGTCTATAAAATGAATAACTTTGAATTTTGACCGTTATTTTTTACCAACATCGCAAATATAAAAACCCTCTATCCAAAAAGTTACTGATATTCTTTAAAATGAGTACCTGATCGAATCAGATAGGTAACTATTTTTACTTTCGTAAAATAGAAAAGGAAAATAATAAAACAGGTGACAGCAGGGTTCGGAAGTAGTTAATTAAGACGTAATTTACCTGATTAACTACATGTAGTTTTTCTTCAAAAACTACGTCTTTTCCCGTTCATTAACTACATGAAAACTACGTTAATCAACTATGTATTGATATTATGAATAATTTTCATTTGTATGAGGTGTAATAGAGATAATATGATGTAAATATTATATTTAAAGCCATATTTCTTCTGTTTTCTTAAATACATTATGTGTTTTTAAAGCTTCAACTTATTATAACCTCACCTCAAACCTTTGATATTTGAAAGTTATATACATAGGTTACATAAACTACACCCTCTACATAAACTACATTAACTACATGTAATGTAGTTTATGTAGTTTTTAAAAGTAACATGTAGTTTTCCGAACCCTGGGTGACAGTTCTTCCTCTTCTTGCAAAAATCAACGCAAAATGTCATAATTGACAAAAGTAAAATGTCATCAGCCTTTGACATTTCTAAATATCAGACCAATGCCGTCTCTAATAGAACAGCCTCGGAGCAAGATTTATGACGTCACGCTAGTTAGATACCACAGATTAATAAATATGTTGTAGAATACACAGAAAACATAATTATTCCTCGTAGTTTTGGTTTGTATTTTAAAAATGATATAGTTTACATGAAATATGCATAATATACAGTTAATAAATACAATAAATATATACCTATTTATAGTAATAAATACTTTGACAAATAAACTATGAACCATACAAATGCATCAAATGTTTTACAATATACAAATAATGAATAGGTATATAATATATAATAAAATATATTTTAAATTTTGGTTTTTGAAAATCGATCTAATTTAACAAAAATATTCAATATCTACTAATAGTGATGTATTATTATTTGCATTCACAAAATTTATATGTATATTTTGCAAGCATCAATGTTCGAAAAATTATATTTGCAAATAATACAATATCATTGTATTGACTATGAAATAAAGATCGCTGTCATTTTATATGTAAAATTATTCTAAAATTTTTTGTTATAGCTAACGTTTATAGCCTGCATCAGTGTTATGTCATATAAAAAAAATAATATCGAATATAATCCTAAAAATTACATATACGAGGAATAATTATGTTTTCCATCATTCTACAACATAATTAATCCGTAGTATCTAACTAGCGTGACGTCATAAATCTCGCTCCGGGGCTGTTCTATTAGAGACGGCATCAGCATGGCCGCAAGTTGCTAACCTAATAAAATTAACACTAGAAAAGCCCGCGGGAACTGTCAAATTCAAAGTTATTCGTTTCACAGACTATATCAAATATATCGACTATTATTAGTAAATTTATTTAATATGATTACGGGAGTATAACTATAATTTTCTCTAATAATTAATTAATTCAATATCCTTGAAATTAAAACCTGCAATTAACCAAATATGTGACAAAATATTAAATAAATCAAAAATTAAGTATTAAAATGTTAGACGTTGTTTAACTATAATTATTATAGTGTTTATGGTGGTTACACATAATTAATTAAAAGAAACAGAGAAAAGGACAGTTCTTAACTGCTTTCAAACAAAAATTATACTAATATATTTTTCAGTTGAAAAGTTATATTCCAAATTCATTGCGATACCAATTAAACTTTTAGTTACGTAATCGAGGACGTAATTTTTAAAATCATTGTTGCCAACCATGGACATATTCGGCGCCGGGTTGACTAACTGAAATTTAAATTTCCCGGTGGGGATGCAGGTGGTAGTTCTGCTGTAAAAAATGTTAAGTTGCCATATTTATTTATTTATTTCCTGACATTGTCATTCGTTTTGACATTTTAGTTTTGTATTACGAGTTTTTGGTTTAAATGAATTGTTGTGATATTATAAGCTTAAAAATTTTTACTACTAGACCTTGCAGTCGAACATTGCTCTTTTAACTTAAAAAAATCTTTCTTAAACAACCTGTTTTAGTGCAAAGTGTATAGCTTACTAGCCGTAAAAAACTCATCACAACTTTATTAGAATATTTTGAACGAGAAAGCGGTAGTAGGTAATGGTTCTTTATGTCCCTCAAGTGCTGTTAAGGAGGAGAGTTTTGTTGATGTAAATAATTGTTTATATATTTATAATTAATTTATTTTTGTTTCCTAAAATATTTTGGTTAAAAGAAAATATGTAAAAGTAGGCAACGCTCTGCCTAAAATTTTAATTGGTATGAACTATACATAGAATTACATTTAAATTACTATACAAATATATAAAATTACTTTAGATCGCCCTGTATGTTTAAAAAATAATTTTAAAATGTGCACTACCGTTGACCGCATTAATGCTTTGTAAAAAAATTAAGTTCAAATTTTAAACAGGAAATCTGATACGAAGAATTTTTGGTATAGTGGGTCAATTCTGTATAAAAGTAAATTGATATCAGTTAAAACTGTTACCGCTTTCTTTCTTCCAGTCAAATTACATGACATTGCATCAAGTGCTTTACGTAATGCATTTTAAATAATTAAACCTTTATTTGTTTAAAGAAATCCTACAAGTTTTCAACACCTGTTAACATTGGTATTTGTAATAAATTCTTACTAAAATAAAGTACTTTTATATAAATTTTTGTGTTTTTTATTATAGAATCATATGCATTTCAGTATTTACATTACTTTTTACGCACTTATACCGGCTGTTTCAAATTCAACTCTCACCCTTATTGATATCTCAGAAACGATAAGAGATACAGCGTGGCACAATTTGGAGCTATCGTATGTCTAATCATTTTTTTTTCAAATAGAACAAGGGTGGCTTATTAGCATATTTGGAAAAAACATTTTTTACGAATAATTTGGTACCACACACTTGGTATTTCGAGTCAAATTGTTATGAACCTCATGTTACAATTTCAAATAAACCATATGCGAAAATGTCAAAAGTTGACATATGATATATCATTTTATTCAGAGTATTATTTTCTATCGAATAAAGTAAAAAAAATGACGAGGGTGTTACTTTAAAATCAAAACTTGTACTCATTTCCGGTGAAACAGGAAATGACCAAAAACAATTGAATACGTCAATCAATCCTAATTTATGTCATATACTAACATACAAAATCTCATTTTTTATCTGAAAAAATAAAAAGGTTATAAGGGTGAGCCATTTTTGAGACGCACCCGGTATTAACAGTAAATATATCTAAGAATACAACCATTATCATCATACCAAACTATACTCTAAAAATCCAAAATACAACTATTTTTTCTCCAAACCCCCACTCAAAACTATCTTTTTTTTTCGAAAAAAAGTTATTTCCGATTTCTCAAAACTATCACGCCAAAAACTTTTACCGCGAAAAATGGCATCCAGATGGCTTGGAAATGATGATCGTCGAGACTCTCTATTTCGAACTTCATTTCCGAGCCATATCTGACGCCGTTTTTTTTCGATCGTATGGTATATAGTATATTATATTTATACTATTTCATTTTTGTTTGATTTATTCAATTTATTTAAGCATTATTTTTAATTAATTACTATTTAATTATACGATTAATATGTAATTCCACTCACCATAATATTTTTAATAAAATATAGTATCTTATTAAAAAAAAATATCAAAATATTAAAAATTAAAAAAAATCTATAAATATATAAAAAATATAATTCTCATTAATAAGACTACTAAAAAAAATGTTCAATATTCAGTAAAAATATTAATAAACTGAAATCTTCAGTAAAATTTAAAAAAATATTATTATGAATCTAAATTTGAAAATAATTATGATTTTTTTAAAGAAATACCTGAAATTTTAAATATCTATTTACATAATACATAATATTAATTAATTTATTATTTAAATTGTTAAAAAATTTCAATATAGCCATGATTATTTAATTATTTATTTAAGTTAACAACAAATTATATAGAGGTATCTAAAAAAACTTACCATTAATGTTAATTAATACAGCTTAAACATTTAGCAACATCAAACTATATAACAGTAAATATTTCTCACAATACAACAATAATTATTGATATACAAACTATCTTCTAAAATTCCGAATACAAAACCCACTCAAAACAACTTTTTTCCGAAATATCTTCTGCGAAAAAACGTGAAAATCACGCGGAAAACTTTTAGCGCGAAAAATACTTCACCTCGCGCTAATAGTTCCGTTCCCGATCACTTCCCGTCGACGAATTTTCCGAAAATGGAAAGCCCAGAGCGCTTTTCCGATGCGAGAAAAGTTTCGGAGGGAAAGCACCATGCGCCAAGCTTCTGTAGTTTGCTTGTATCGCAAAACAGACGCACTGAGAGATGCGTATGCGGTTGGGAGTAGTTAAAACAACGAACGGTAGCGAATAAAACAAATCGTATCGTGCGAGTCGACTGACGAAAAATGACTGACACTGAAAACAGACAAGAGTGACTGCTGCTTTTTGGACTGGTATGGTAACTTGAATGAAAGCCAACGTTTCGAAGTGGTGTTAAGAGTCCATTTCACTAGTCCCAAAAAGTAGCAAAATAAGCGTTCGGCATTTAACGTTTTATGTAAAACTGGATAAGTATTTTTACACAAATGAAGAAGGAAATTAAAGATAAAGAATTATACGATATTCGTATTGTAGCACATTTTTAGACAATTTCTTTATTTTTAAGATTTTGATGGTCAAACATCAACAACATATTCTTTATGTTTTGACTAAATTTTCTCGAAAATAAAAACTTAATTTAAAATTCCGTTACAATACGGAAATAGATTGAAGTTTTGTGATTACAGTGATATATAATTTATATACAAATATAAATTGCTCGCTATTTTATGACAAATGCTGAAGCTCTGCAAATCCTAATCAAGCCTTAATCAAAGCACGTGTGTTTGGAATTTTGGGTGTGGCTTAACACGACAGGATCAGGCACATTTCTGAAATATAATATGTATTTGCCTTAAGCACATTTCTGAAATGTAATATATATTTCCTTCAATGCAAAACCAGACAAATGCCAACATACCTTAAGTGATGTAGGTATGCTTTTGGCTTTTTCAAAGACAAATATCTGTTTGATGTATTCAAAGCTTAATTCTCTTTTTTTTATATTTTTTTATTTTTAAATTATCAATTTATTTTGCGTAAGGATTTAGTAGCCCAGGTGGTAGTGAAGATTTTCGATACTTATTTTCGCAGTTAGTAAACACCGATAGAATTATTCGGTACCTTATTCTAAGCAAATTTCATATATATGTATGGGGGAGTTTTCCGATGGGTTGGAGCGGAAAATGCTTTATAATGTACAAATATACTGCACTTTATTTTCCAGCGATAAAAGTAGTTCTATTAGTGAGAGATGTTGTGTAATTAATAAAACAAAATAGTCAAAAGGTAATATGTCTGGCAGGTGAAAATTTTGGATAAAAATTATTGAAACCATTGCCCTTATTTTTGCAGTCCTAAAAATTTGTCAGATATTTATTTATTCGTGTCAGAAGCATCATCAAGATTACATTTTATACACATATAACATCACATACAACAATAACAACAATAATTACATATAATAATAATAATAATAAGTAAAATTGCAAACATAAAAGTTATACATGAAACCACAGTACATTAAAACATAGATATAAAACAAACATAGCATGTATAAACATCATTTGAGACGGGAAACTAAACATGTTTTGCCCAGAAGCAGGCGACGTCAATTGCGTTCGACTTTGCTGCCATAAGGTCCTCTATAGTGCACTTGGCGGGGCACAGTGGGCAAGTATACATATGTTGGGTGGTTTGTAGTGCTCCACATTCGCAGAGGTTGGAGTCCACATGGTAGCCCCACTTGGCAAGAGTGTCTCTCGATCTCGCTGTGCCCGTACGCAGTCTGTTAAGAGCTCTCCAAGTTTCCCAGTTTTCGTCGCTTCCTGGTGCCAATTGTTCCTTCGGCTCCATCCAATGTTGATTTGAGGTCTTCTCCCAAAGGTCCACATTGGTTCTAGGTTCCTCGTAGTCTTCTGTCGATCGCAGGAAGCTTTGCCTTGATTTCAATCGCTGATGAGCGGGTTGGATGCCGTAGAGTAGGTGGCGTTCAGTTGCTGCTGCGTTGGATCTAATAAAAAATAAAAAAAAAAGATGATAGTTTATATTATAATTACAGCTGCAAATATAGTGTGACTCGTGTGGAACATTCCGTCAGGCGCGCTAAATTCGACATATTCAATTAAACAGGTCATTGTTGTCATCTCTCCGCGTTTTTACTTTTCATAATTTATGGTAAGAAAAGTATTTGTTTAGGGCGAAATTTAACTATGACCAAAAACACTTTTCTCAACAATTTGACCTCAGGAATCTAAAAAACAAGATTTTAGTCGTCCGTCCGTCCTATAAAAACATTCGCTAATAACTTTGTAACTATCAGAGATATAAGGAAGTTGTATTAATAAATGTCAAATATTTGTTGTAAGAAATTTAATTCTAAAATCGATCTCTTGATTTTCTTTTGTATCTTCCTTAGTTTTTGAGTTATAGCCATAAAAAATGTCCTAAACTTCTCATCATATGAATGTGTTTGGATCTAGAACAATTATTTAAAATTAAGAGTATTTTTTCTCGATTTTCTATATTAAAAATCACGAAATTGCAAAGTGTCAATAATTTTCGCATCTAAAAATACGAAAGGTACGACCTGACTTGCGAATCTGGTGGAGCTTTCGTGATTGTAAATGACAGCCAGACGTATTTTCTATGAAATTATAGTATTATTTATCATGTGACAAATTTTCAAATCCGGAAAAATAAGGGCAAAAATTTTGTAATTTTTGCAATTTTCAAGATGCCGCCAGACTCATTTGCCAATTTCATAAATCAACCAGACTTGCTTTTGATAACAGTTCATGATAGTACGTTATGTTAAATTTCAAGCATATGGGAAAATTAGAGTTATGGATTTCAAAAATCTGTCAAATTTTTACATCCGCAAATTTTCAGCCAGACTGACTCCTCCACTTGGGATGTGCCAAACCGTTATGTCCATTAATAAAACGATTGACTTTAATAAATGTCAAATATTTATGACTGGAAAAATAAGTGGACTTGTTTTCTATTTCATTTAGCAACCCCATCCGAAAATTTTAGCCAGACTCACAAATTGTCATTTAGTCTCACCATCCAATTCAAACTATTATATATTCACCCACTAAGTACAAAAAAATTTCACTGCTTCCTGGACTATAATGGATGAGCAGAACTGGGTTTATTCTCAATATTGAATTTCGCTCCTTTCCAGTTCTATTATTTGTTGATATGTAACCTATGTAACCTATAAATTTACTTTATCTTTGACTGTATATACATATAGATTATTTTTATTATTTAACTCCATTATTATATAGAATTTAATTGTTCTATTGACTTGAAAATAAAGACTTTTTATTAAGTTATTGTTATTATTATTAACTAGTATGTTTATCGAATTCAAAAAAATACAAATACATAAATTAGAAATGCAGTTATAACAATTTAGCATAGCAGTGACAATTACTATTGTCACTACAAATTTGTTAACAACATTGTTTAAGAGTATAGGTACAACATAATATCTAATCATAATTTCAGCAAATGCAGTTCTTTATTCAAAACTCCACTACGCAGCGTTATTTGGTCAGTACAAACGACCACATTTGTATTCGAAATATAAAAATATTCTCAACTTTATGTCATGCAATAATATACTTGAAAGAAATGGAGACAATAAATCGCTACCTCTTGTTTACGTTTTGTTTGATGTGGGCAATAACTTCTTACGATTATTTTGAGTTTGTTTTGAAATTTGGCAGTAATGAAAATTGATGGAACTTTTTACCAAAATTTAATAATGAGATTAAAACGGAAACGTATTTTTGAAGTGAAACTTCTTTAAGCGCGCTTGGAGTAAAAATTCAAGGCCGTGACACACGACACGCGAGACGACACGCGAAACAACAGACAGCCTACGGCTTAGAAAAAATCTCAGAGTTAAATAATCTAAGGAAGAAATCGTCCGATTTAAATTAAATTTCGTATGTCGATAGATTGGAACAAGGCAAACTTGATTGTGTACAACACGTGTCACTGTGACAGTTAATTTTGACGTAAGGAACGTCAAAAGTTGATGTCTTTCCTTCGCGACCAAATTTGGTGGGTAGGCTATGTGAGCGACGGTGCACACGGTTCCACCCTGCAAATTTGGATACGACGTTTCGTTTACATCTTCATCAGGGTGCGGGACTAACGATTCGGGTCGATTTCGGCATAATTGGGGACGGGCTACAGAATGATGTCCTCGACGTTTCGAACCAATGCCTTTAAATGGACGAAATCATCAGGATTTTTCTTAATTATGGGTCGATTGGAACCAAACGTGGCACATGGATAGAGGTACCCAAATGGAGTCCTTAACCTCTGGCATTAACCTCTGGCACGGCAGGGGTCATACTAAGGGCTGGCAAAGGTTAGTCTTGGGTCGAGATTTACGTATGTAAGAAGAGTACAATGCGTTTATAATGTACTGAACAAAGAGAGGACAGTAAACACGTTGCCAAAGGTCTGAAATAAACCAAGAAACTGTGCACATCGCTAAGAGACGTGGAAGGGGATAAAGCAGATTTGTCGCAGTTGACCGGTCGACCCAATCAATACCTCTGTCAGAACTTAAAGTTCTAGGGAAAGGTGTACGTCATGCGTTCAGCTTCACGATTTAATTACGTCTCGTGATACTTAATTTGTTTATTTATTAACGAGTCGTTGTAATTTTCCCTATAGCTTGATTTTTTTTAAGTGCAAGCTAGAAACACTTGCATTTTTGGTAAAAATAAGTGGAACTTTGTTAATATTTCTGCTGTATTTTCTTTGTAGACAGTATGTGAAAGTCTTTATCAATAAAAAAATTACACCATTGCTGAAAATTGCTATGCTAAATAGATCGATTGTTTACAATTTTTGAACGGAAAAAACAACCTTACCGAATTTTTCTTATGTAAACATATTGCAAAATATCCGATCTTGAAAATAAAAAAAAGTTTCAATATCTAAAGTGGTTCTTGAGTTATGGCCTGTTATGTGTTAAAAAGTTGAGTTTCTAAATTATCGCGATTACTGACGTTTTCTCGTTATAAAAAAATGATACCCTGACGATATCCGTATAATTCCATTTCAAATGCTCAGAAACATGTCTAATGATTTTATCTAGTTATCTCTTGAAAAAAAAGTCTTTTAAAAATAAGCGGTTTGCGATCGTGATTT